CGTTAGGTGACTGGACGTCCTTGTGTTTCGTGCCATCGGTAACAACGGTGGATGCTGCTGATGATGACGAGGTGGATGACTCTCTGACGGTAGAGAGTGTGTGAGGATGACGAGTGCTGATTTCCTCTGGAGTCTTGTGTCGGGTGACAGGCGGTCTGCTCTGCAGAGGGCTTGCTTGCCGTGTTCTATTTGAGGCTCTGGATAGTGTTGTACCGGGAGAGTAAGACGACATTGATGTTGGAGTTGATGAGACACTGAAAGGTCCAGGGGACTCTGAGTAGCGAGTTGACGGCGTTGCTGAGAGTGCATACTGCGGTGTTGGGAGAGGCAGTATGTCTGTAGGGCCAATCTCATAGTCGTAGAGTGGGTTGCTGTATGAATCGACTTGAGCCTCTGAACGAGCGAAGATATTCGATGATGTCGGTAACGAGATTCCCAGAACTGTCTCTGAGAAAGGATCCTTGTATCCTCCGGGTATCCCCTCCATTAATTGCCTATCATCTTGGGATGATATCGAGCCGTCTCTTATCCGCGTAACCTGCCTGCCGGTTGCAGACCCAACACTTGTCTGTTTCCGTCTGAGCACATTCGAACGAGGACTCTCGATAGTTGAGGCGGAAGAGCCTGAGGCGAGCGAGGGTGTACGTATGCTTGGAGGTACTTCAAGCTTCGGTAATCGGGACGTTGACGATTGTTGTGAGGGTTTCGAGTTTGCGACAGTCGGGTTTTGAGGGAACATAGGCATAGACCGGCTGGTCTTCCTTTGACGCGAGCTGAGTGCTTGTGCGGGGCCTTGTTGACTGACTGAGACCTTGGCATTTACTTCGTCGTCTCTTGAAGGCCTCCTCTTTTGCAATTTAGATTGGCCTGGGGTAGGTAGTTGGGATGTGGTTGTGGTGGGGGTGACAGATCGTTGAGGCAACCGAGTAGTAGGCGCCCGGTCCTCTGTCCTCCTTGGGGGAGGGTATTGTGACTTATAGGAAGCCATTTCGGGTAACCTTGTGTAGCCCGGGTAGATGTGCAACGGAACCCTGTGTACGCCGAGTAATTCATGAAAGCATATGCTTATCCACCTATGAGACTCTTGAATTCGAAGGCTTTGACGTGGGGTAACCTGAAAGTCGAAGGTTTGGGACCGTCAGCAGTTTCAGCTCGGGAGGCCGTGATGGTACGAGCGGCTGATGGCGGGAAGGCCAAAGTTACGGGATGGAGGTGGCGATTCGGAGATATTACAAAGACGTGAGATTGCAAGTCCATGAATATAAGTCATCCAGCCACAAGGTACATGCAGTCCTATGTCCCCGTGCAGAGTTACGGTGAGTTGTTGCGACTCTTTCTCGTGTGCCACATCTATCGGCGGGCCCGAGACCGTAGGGTGTGGCGCAGCGGCAAAACCCGAGATGGGGCTGTGCAGGGATTCGCAGTTGGGATCAGGAAAATCGACAACGATGCGTACAAGGAGCAACGAGAAGACGAGTGATATTATACTCGTGCTTCCAACGGCAACTCGCGCGTCCCGTCTATTCCTCCCTCAGGGTCGACTGTCCAAGCGCGGGGCCTGCACCCTAAGTCGCCTCAGTGGGGCTTTCGCGGGTGAGCCGTGTCGAGAACGGAGGACCAGTCCAGATGCTCAAACGAGGTAGTCCTGGCTGATGCGATAGTGTAGTGTTTCTGGTAAGCTCAACGTCGCAATCTGTTGGTTAGGAGCGATTCGACGCTTGTTGCGGTTGCGGGGTGCGCAGGCTTGCATATGTATAACGTCGCGACGGACGCATCACGACGCGTAGACTTGTTCGCAAAGAACCGGCGCCGGCGGCCTTGCGAAGTTGGGCTTGCACGGCACGGAGACATGGTGGGCTATTACGGGCGCTTGCGCTTGGATAGGCGGGTGGAGGCCTCTGGCTTGATGAAAGAAGGTAGCCAGTTGAGTTGCTGGATAGCCATGGTGGGTGACGATTCGTAGACAGACCTGGTACGGCGCCAGCCAAGCGGAATGTCCAATTGGCTGTCAGGTTACCCCTACTCGTCGTTTACCCACCAACTTGATGCCGTTTCAGATACTCAGCAACCCTTACCAGAAGCCTCGTGTTTGCTATCAATTTTTCACGCTCGTCTCGTGACAGGGCTGGCATCATGGGAAGCTGAGGCTGCAAGCTTAGCGAGAGGCCTATATGTGCGACCGTCAAGTCGCGACGATACTCGTTTGCAAAACTGCGCTTCCAGCTGCAAAAGTATGCCTCCAACTGTCCTCAGCTGTTCAAAAGCACGCGATGATCAGCCATCGAATACTCTATCGCACTCGAAAAGGGCCGATACAGGCACTCGGAGCTCGCATGCACCTGTCTTGAACAGGATAGAGAGCACATTCGTTGAGAAGCCTTTTACCGTCGATGGTTGTCTGACTGTTCAATCAGGACCCGCAGGGCAACAGGCAAGCCGCCCAGCAGAAGAGTCATATGCTCCTCTGAGCGATTTTCGCGAATGCACGTCCAACGGTTCCTGCAACTCTTGTTGCTATTCTCGTGACCACATTCATGCTTTGGCGAAAATCCTGCAGATGCGCTTCTGGGGTTGTGGCATTATGCCGTCCAGCCGGAAGGCCCGTTTCTGTCAAGCTGAGATGTGGCTAAGTGCATCAACTCGGCTCTTAGTTTGAGGCTGAGCAGCCGATCGCCCTCGCCACTTTGACAACGCATCAAAAGCCTCGCACGTCGCGAGCCATCAGGAACGTTACGAGTTGTCCTTTGTCTACGATGGCGAGAATATCCCTTTCTGCTAATCGCAACGGTCTCGTCCACGACTCGGGAGAAGGGCCGCTCTGTGTCGGCCATGTCCCACCGCCCAGGTTGCGCTTAATCCCACTACACCCGGTGATCCCTGTTCTGCGCGCTCATTCGCACACCATCAATGTGAGAAATGTGAGAAAAACGGGTAGCCACCGCACTTGACAGTCATGTGACGACGCTTTACTGAATAGAGAAAAGTCTGGTGAAGGACGACTGCCAATGAGGGATGGAATTCGGCTTTCGACGGTGTCACTGGCAGCGGCTACAAGCAGGGGGTTCAGAGGTCTCAATTGTGCAAACCACTTGCCCACTCATCATTGCGATGCGAAGCTTGACCGATGTGATTTTCCGATGATCCTGATCAGCGGAGACATTGATATCCTGTTCACTTCCATCTGAAGGATTGTTGTAGTGTTGTTGGTGGACCCAAAGAGATATTGCATACCTTCACACATACGTCAGCGTCGTCGAGTCTAGAACATCCGGACAAAACCCATTCAGTGCCAGACATAGTTTGACGTTACTAGTTTCTCATGTCGCAATCACTGGCATCTAGGTCCGTCCTAGTCACTTAGGCTGCTGATTGCGATCCAAACACCAGCTGTTGATAGCCGCCGACTCATCAAAGATATGACATGTTTCGTTGACAGTCCGCGTTTGTAAGGCAGTGACCACTGCGGGCCCATGTTGACCCCGTCCAGGTTCATGCTTTGGCCGCACCCGTTAGTTGAATCGAGGAGAGAAGGTAAGGGAGGGCGGCACGGCGCGGTCACTTCAATCTCTGCGAATCATCTGGCGTAAGTGCTGTATAGCCCTGTGAGCTCTGGTGGAGCTCGGCCCGCTGCGGTACCAATCTTGAGCAAGTCGTTGCGAAGTGACCGTGCGAGAGTGATGATGATTGTCTAGTGCGAAAGTTAAAGCTGCTGGACCCGGCTGGTCGTTGAGCCGTTCGGAGACACTTGTAAGACCATAGGGCAGACGTCGAGCGTAACCCTTGGTATTAACGCCTCGAAATGCTGCTAGCCGCAGTTCGTCGGGCGTGTATCCCTTTGAAGTGTATTGTGCGAAGTGAGGAGGCCGATCACACGGGTGAGTCCACACATCTCGTTCGCATGTCCTACATCATTCTCAGAGAAGGCTCCGATGTCGGCGTTGACTCATTGCGTATGTTCTGTGTCTCTTGATTACACCAAGTCTCTTGAAGTGCTGGAAGTCCGGGACGTGACGGGCATTTCCTTGGTCGCAATGCTAGCGATTGTATGCAGTGAGACAACAGCCAAGGATGTGTCCTGTAGTACCATTCTCTGGTATGCGCGTGACACGTCTCATGGGCTTTCCTTTGGTAGATCTACCTTTCTTTCTCTATACCACCTTTCGGCGCACCTCCGCTCATATTGGAGTGCTCACAAGAGCTTCGGACGGAGCCGTCGGAGGCGAAGAGGCTGTTTTGTTGCAATCTCGCTATAATCACTGCCTGCTGTCATCATCTCTTCCACTTCAATGATGCGTAGTACACATGATTTGGGTGGCTAACATATCCTGACACCTGACTGGTCAATCTGAAAGCATGCCACGTGACCACGCGTCAACTCAAACTCAAACTCAATATTGCTGGAGGACGCGTCCATGCAACCACATCTCAACTGTCAACATGTCGAAACAGCAGAAGGTTACTCAATACCAAGAGCGCGTTTATACGGCCCTCCAGATGATCCCAGAAGGTCGCGTCACGACGTATGCCGCCATCTCAAAGGCTCTGAAAAGCTCCCCTCGCGCAGTAGGTGGTGCGCTGCGCGTCAACCCGTTCTGTCCCGAGGTACCATGCCATCGGTGTATAGCCAGCACTGGTGTACGTGTTTCACATCCAGGATGGGAGGTCTAGCGCTGATTTGACAGTTCGTTGGTGGGTACAAGGGCGACTGGGAGAAAGCGCCCAGTGGGCAGAACCAGGATTCAAAGTTACAACTGCTGAAAGAAGAAGGGGTTCTGTTCAATGCAGATGGATTCTTGGTCGATAAGACATTGTTGTGGGATGACTTTGACGTGGAAAAGTTGAGGTAAAGGTGATGGAAGCGTGGAAGGTCGCGTTCGCGAGGCTGAGGCAAGTGGGGGCGGGGCGATCAATCAGAAAGTTTTGGTGCAGCCAACATATCGGGAAGGAAGGCATTGGCAGCAGGTGCTGTTCTCTCAAAGCCTACGTATAAATCATCTTTTGCGCACCACACTACATTTGCTTAGCAATCTTCAAACGCAGTTGCGCAAATTTGCCACTTGAACATCGGTTACCTACGCATACCTGGCTTTACGACAACACCTCCTAGATTACCGCTGCATCAACTTCTTCACTACCACACCCGATTATCAGTATGCCGCCGAAGAAGTTTTTGAAGCCGAAGCCCAAGGGCAAAGTGAAGCCGCCGGAGCCGGAGACAGAGAACGACTTCCTCGAAGCTGCAGACGAGTTCGAACAGGCGGCAGGGAAATGGCGCGCAGGCGACGCCGCGAAGGCCGTTCGCTTCTTCAACCGAGCGATAGACGCGTATAACGAGGGCCTAAAGCGTCATCCGCAGTCATTCGATCTTGCCTATAACAAGTGAGCACAGTCGTCCTTTCTACTCGTTCGCGCAATGCTGATAGGACTAGAGCGAACCTGCAATTCATCATTTCAGAAGATGAGCGCATCATTTCACACTTCGGAAACAGAACTGCGCTGCTAGAGGAGACTCTGATGTCGCACCGCTTTGCTATCTCACTGAATCCGACGAATACCGACATCCTCTTCAACGCTGCGCAGGTACTTACCTCATTAGCAGAAGCCGGTTTGGAGGCTAGTTCGCCTGCAACCGGAAAGCAAGATGCAAGACTATTACTCGAGGAAGCGGTCGAGATTCTCACAAGGTGCTTAGAAAGTCAGCAGCAAGAGTATGCTCAGATGCAGGCTGAGATTGCCAAGATTGAGGCCTCTGGAGAGTACAAGGAGGCTTGGGAGGGTGAACGTCAACAGCCAGCGGATGCTCAGGAACAAGACATGGAGACTGATTCAGGGACTTCGGAAGTACCAGGAGACTGGGCCACGGTCGAAGAGCCGCTGACACCAACAAGCATATTGGAGACCTGCACAGCGCAGCTCAGTACCTTGACGACATTACTAGGGCTATACAACCCCGCTACAGATCTATCAAGTATAGAGAAGAAAGCACAGGACGGGATAGATACAGCTACAAACAAGATCCCAACGCTCATAAATCTCATCGAAAAGTCGCCCGCTCCGAAACTCGTCGATGAGCCCAAAGCAGGCCCAACACTCTCCATAGGCTCCGTATCCGCACCAGAAGAAGCAACAACAACACCCAAAGATGATGCGATACTCGCGGCTGCCAATTTCCAGGCTAGCGTAGCGGAGATGCAATACCGTAGTGGCAGGACAACCTCAACAGAGTACGCAGGAACTGTAGAGGGAATCTTCAGTAGTCTAGTACAAGTCGCTACGCAAAACACAAGTCCCGATCTAGCAGCAATCAACGTACAGTCTGCGTATGCAGACGCACTCATGGATCTCGCCTCAGCACTAGCAGATGGTACCCAATATACCCCTTCAGAACCCACATTCAGCACAGACGTCGACATCCAGTGGACGGCCCTCACGCAGACCCAAAATCTGCTCACCAAACTGTCCGGCGCACCCTACACCTCTATTCTCTCCCCATCACGACTGGCCGATGTCTTCATCGCAAGGGGCGACACCGACCTATTCCGCTTCCGTATCTCGCTCTTCGAGGGCGCGAAACCTGCTTGGGCAAAGAGCGGACCGACTCTAATTTCCAATGCTGGTGTCTTCTACCGGGGAGGGAGAAGCTATGCGGAGAAGACTGGTGCGACTGGGGTGCGGAGCGCGGCAGATGCCAAAGCAGTTGTAGCTGAGATACTGAAGGCGGTGGCTAGTGGTTCGGAGACGGCGAAGGATACTTGGAAGGGGAGGACTGCGGATGTACCGAGGGTTTTGGAGCAGATGGTCGACGAGGGTATTATTGGGCGGGAGAATGTTGAGGGATTGCTGAACTGGATATAGGGAAGGGATGTCAGTGTCAGAAGCAGTCTGTATCGATGCGTCTCAATGGAATTTATATGAAGTCGAGACCTCTCAATCTCAAGTGCGGTTTATCTGACCAGATTGCACCGCACCGCTGGCACCTCTTGTGCTTTTACGGACTCTGCGTCTCTCAGGAACGCGAAGTGACTGTTCTCTGGGTGTCTGACTGCCACTAGAAGCATCTTCCGCTCCGATTTCATTACTTTGGTTTGGATTTATCTCCATACTTGCGTTGCTTATATTGTATGTGACTCGGATTTTCGGCACTGGGCGCCTGCGCAGCTTTTCAGCCTTACCCAACATTACACGTGTAGAGGAATGATCCACCTCATCAGGGAGACTAGCAATAGCTTCCACTTGGTCGAGATTCTTCTGAAGTTCGCGCTGGAGTCCCAGTGAGTCTAGTACGACGCTTTGTGCATTTGATTCACTGTGTGTTGTGTCATGGCTTGTCGGAAGGCGATCGGAAACTTCAGCCTGGTTGCCTAGCCATTTGTTCGCGAACCAATCCGTACCGCTGTCCGCCGTAGAGGTCGTTTTATCGTGTTCGTGAAGGGAGTACAGTTTTATCGAATCGTCCGAAAGGCCGCTAGGCCCGTCATGATTTTTCTTGAGCGTTGTCTCCGCGGCATCCGCAAGTTCTACGTTCGGAGTGTGGTTTTCAGATTCGTTCGAATCTGGAAACGTTGCAATCCGCGCTCGTAACTTATCAATCTCGTCTTCTAAATCTCGACGTAGCTTTTGTTGTCCTAACAGTTGCGTCTCAACCCTGTGACGAAGACGCATTTCATTTTCAAGCTCTTCCCGACATTGCATGAAATCGACTTCCTGATTTGCTTGCAATTGCGCAAAATGGCCATGCCACGCACGCCTTAGGTGAACCTGCTCTTTTTGCTCTCTTTCCAGCTCCCTCTGATGTGATAGATGTAACGTTTCCAATACGTTATCTCTTTGCGGCTCATATCCAGTTCTGTATTTCTTAGCCTCACTCAGCCGTCTTTCGAGCTCTTTTATCCGCTCTGTAGCTCTTGCAGCATCTATTACGATGTCATGATAAAGATTTCGTGCAACCAATGTCCTCTTACAACAGTGGCCAAAAACAGATGGCGTTGATCCTTCGTTTCGGTACGAATCGTAGGCTACGATACCATGCAGAAGCTCGATAGCTTTTGGTCGGCGTTTGGGTCTCGTTGAAAGCATGCGGCTGATCGCATATTCCAAATAATCTTCTCTCCGGGTGCAATCGTCACTGTCAGTTTCCAGCCACGTCGACTTATGCTTCGTGTTTGCATGGAAAGCCGGGTCAACTCCTCGGTGTGTTCTTAAGAGCTGTAGTGAGCCTCTTCTATGCACGGAGAGGATTTCTAGGAGAACGCAGCCCAAAGAGAACATGTCTGCCGCTCGTCCACTCGGCTTCCATGCAGCTACTCTAATGGTTTGATCAGTACTTGCTGGATAAGATACGATGTCAAGAAGCTTACTCTGGAGCAAAATAACGGGGGGTTCCACGTTCGTTGTCCGTCGCGCTTTGAGAAAGTAGTGTAAAGTCTGTTGAACTACCGAAGTCTGTCAACCACAGTTGACCGGCCGAAAGAAGTATGTTAGATGGTTTCAGATCCTTGTGCCTAATTTGCTTGTCGTGTAAATAAGCGATTGCGGACACAAGGCAGCCGATCTTGGAGTAAACAATGGACGCCCAGCTACCTCCGCCACCTTCCGGGAAATCATAATGAAGAGTTTCTAATCGAATCTTCACGTCGGAGTCGAGAGAGTCCCGTCGCGTCACGGAGGATCCACTCTCATCGGCAGCCACAACCTTGGACCAGGCCTCGACATCTTCAAAGAAGGTGTGTAAGTCGCATGTAGCCACCGGGTACAGGAGAATGCCCAGATGCTTTCGTTGGACGTATGTTCCGATGAGCTGTACGATGTGCACGTGAGACAATCGCTTCAGTATTTCGACCTCTTTTCTTTCTCGCTCTCCAATACGTCGTCTGAAGAGTGTTCTCTTGTGAGCGATTTTATAGCCTTGGATAGTCGTCTCATAAACGTCACTCATTGCTCCTCGGCCGAGAAATCGTCCTGATGATGCTTGAGTTAGGGTTCTGGTACCATGAATGCTCTGGATGTCTACTTACCTTGTACGATAGGAACAGTCTCTTCATCGCCGAAATCGATATGGGATCCCCTGTCCAATTTAGACCAATCCTTGATATTGATCAGATCTCTGCTGGAGGAAGCTGTATCCTCAACAAGTGTCTCATCCGCATAAAGAGAAGTCGACGTGTTGTCCCAGCCTTGCGTCTCTTGTGACCCAGCGTGTACATCATCAACAGTACCCATAGCCACTGGAACGCCGCAAGATGCGACTACAGAATGATGTATGCGGTGAGGTCGGAAAAGCTGGCTCTAGGTATCATCGGTGTGTTGTGGTGATGGGGGAAGCAGGTGCAGGCTGCGGCTGAGCTGAGCTGCGCCTTCCCCAAGCCGCTGCGAAAAGAAGGCTGCACATGGACAATACGGCAGCCAATCGCACTTAGTGCATACATACGCACACGGCCCCCAAATCCGAGGCTATGGTTTCAGCGAACCTGTACAAGATTAGGAGACAATCACGCATAGATTTGTCGGTGTCGCAACGGTCATAGCCTATATTTTCTATGGCAGATGACTGCGCATGCATGCTATGGTCTCCTCTACACCATCGCGCATCCTCAAATCTTACAACGATATTTTGCCCATCTCTTGTTTTCCCTCATAGCCACGAGGTTTTGTATATGACATAAGTGAACATACCCAAATTCGGCTTTGCTCATCTTTGTCCAGCTAGCCTCCGCTCCTGGACCTCAGACAAGGCCCGGCTACCACTCAGGAAAGCAACAACTCCTACAACGGCAGCAGCCGGCAGAGTCTGGAAGAGGTTCCAGCTGGTGTAGTAAAGGAAGAAGATGCCCTCCATTGCCAGTATGGAGCCATAAAACAGTCCATGCGACACGGGTGCGTTGCCCAGCGCCTTACTTAGGTGGCTGGCATTCGCGCCGAGTATAGCCCAGACACCGAGAAGGATGGGAAGCGCAGCAGCAACAGCAGCCGCGAACACAATTGTTATGATCTTAGGTGGAGACTTAGGGTCATCCTTGAAGATGTGGTGGATCTCGGACTCGGCGGCGTAGCGGACGGGCGGCTCGGGGACGCTGAGAGGGACGCTGGGGTCACGGGTAACGGCGAGGTCGAACGCTTTGCTCTTGTATGGCGCGGAAGAGCCGAACGATCCAATGACGATTGAAGCGACGATTGGCTTCTCGGATGTCAGGAATTGGTGGGGTAGGTCCTTGTGAGACTGTAGATGTTAGCTATGCTGGCAGCCATTGAGATATTCGACCTACCAAATCAACCTTTCCCTTGCCGCTGTCCTTCACATTGAATACAAAAGACTCCTCCAAGCCCGTCATCGGTTCGGTCAGAGTAAGGAATGCCTGATGAGGTCGCTTCGCGGTGCTTCCATCGAGGGTTGTGAGGACAAGCTTCAGTGTATCCGTTGCGCCCAACGATACAGATTTGCTCAGTGGTTTCGAAGGACTCAGACTAGATGCCAATTAGTCCTGAAATAATTGCACATAACGCAAGCTCAAGCTCACTTGTCCTTTGAACCTCCGCCAACACCAGCACCTTTGCTGGTAACAGTCACCGTGGCATCCTCAAAGCTCCATGAGGAAGCTGCGGAGACAATGGCCGCGCCCGAAAGTAAAAGGGAAGAAACGAAGCCTTGAAGAACCCTCATCGTTGCTGATTCGGAAAGAGTGAACGCGGAGCTGTTAATGTTGCGCCGACACAGACGTAAGCGTGTCCTTTGCCAAGACTTCGGTCGGCACTTGCCGGCACTAGCTCTCCATGTCTCACCACGACTCGACATCTCTGATATTGACTGCAAGCTTTCAATGCCCATTGCTATCTTACCCGGTGCATCGCTTCAGAGGATTTCTGTTTCTAAGCTATTCGTATATATGCTTACAGAGCAAGATCAGTTTGACTTATAACCACCTGGGCATGCATAATACAACAATCCAACTGCGTTCCAATAACTGGACGTGATCAAAGTTATACTTTATCTTCATGGTTGCGATGGCCTAAAAGAACTCACGAATATAGCACGCTATGCCTGCCAATCTATCTCCTACGCCACAGCGTCATCCATCTCCGCTTGGTCTTTGGAAACTCATTCTCTGGATCCTCTGAACCCTCTGAATCACCCAAATCCGCTATCCACAGCACATCAAGTATCAATCTAACCCAATCACTTCCATCCTTTGGAAACATATCCATCCACTCCTTCGCAACAGCCACTAAACGAGACGCGTCCCTACTTTTATGCTTTCTGCACGTAGTATCACGATACATTCCCTGAAGTCGAGTTCCCCGCGTGGAAATCAGCGTCCTGAAGACAGCAAATCCCAAATCCGGTACTCGCAGGTGATAGTTATCGAATGCAAACGGATCGACCATTGCGTTATCTTTCAGAACCTTGTACGGATCATAAGCTCTCTCCCCCAACTCAATCATAGACGCTTTCCTCAGGTCCTGTATCCTTTTCTCTATCACCTCCATCGTAACAGCATCACCAATGCTCCTTTTAAAATCGAATTTCGACCGCAATTCTTCCAGTACAAGCGGTGGATACACACCAGCGTACTCAGGCTCCCCACATATATGGTACCGAGCCGTGCTATAGTCAGTCTGCCAACATCTGGCTATCGCTTCAGAGATATCGTGTTTATCTTTGTCGCTGACGTTGACGGAATAGTAATTCGGTTGTTGCCACCATTCTGCTCGGCAGAGTGGACATCGCCGCGAAGTCCCGGATGAGGTGTCGAGGCTCATCTGGTGGATACACGCTGATCCGAGGATGTGGTTGCAGCCTGGGAGGTTTGTGATGGCGAGCGGCTTGTCGAGTGTTTGGAGGGCGAGGTTCTCGCTGCCGTAGGGGGACTGGCAGATGGCGCATGTGTCTTGTTCTGAGAATAGGTTTAGTTGCTTGATGGATGTGTGGTTTGCGATGAACTGTTCGTATGTTCGGGGCGTGTCGCACTGCGAGCAGCATGGTTTGTTCTTTGCTGGAGCGGCAGATATGACTGTTTTGGATTTGGGAACTCTTGTGGGAGATGCTGCACGTGGTGGGAGCAAGAAAGATAAATATTTCGACGATTGTAACAAGCGTATTGCATAGAAGAGCTAGTATTGGCATTGAGCATCTCGGTTTCAATATTCTGCACGATGTTCCTGGTCAGGCAATGTAGTGAACATCTCATGACTTGTGCTTGCCACTCTTGATCATATGGAAGTGAAGTGATTGAATGCGGATTTGAAGTGATGGGTGACGTAAATGACAAGTTATGAAATCTCCATTGGGTATGTTATGTTATTTTATGTTACAAAAGGCTGCATTTGAGGATAATACCTCAGCCTCGTAGCGCGTGAAGCGCAGTTGTTCGTGTAGTGACAGATTGCTCATAAAGGACTGGTCCCATATCCCCGTATCACAAGCAATACAATATGCAGTATATATACAACGAGAGTGTGTCGGTCGAAGCGTGGCGTGCACCCGAACACATCCCTCTACCGTCGATCCTCGTCGCCAAAGGAATGTTCGCGGTGCCGATGTCGTGAACTGTAGTTGGAATGTGGATTTTCCCGCGCTTATTTTCCGACAGTCTTATCCTTCAACTCCTTCGTCTTCTCAGCGACCATGTCAGTCACACCCTTGGCTTCCTCTCCCACTCCCCTCGCTTTCTTAGCCATCCTCTCCTTCCAGGCCTTGTCTTCCTCGTCTCGCATCTCCAACTCCCTCAGCCACCTGTCTCTCTTATCCATGCGCTCCTTCTGCGCAACTTGCTTCTCGTACTCCTTGCGCTTCACGCGATCCTTTTGCCAGTACATGTTTCCTGCTACCAGGACGGCGATTGTGAAGGCCTGGGCATATAGACGTCGGCGGAAGTACATGTTGGTCGCCTTATGGTCGCCTTTTCGCATCGAGCGGGTTGCGCCGACGATGGCCCAGACGGTCAGGCCGCAGCCGAGGGGGACGAGGGGCTCTTCGCGGAAGCGGCGCCATATCTTGTCGATGGTGTTTTCATTGTAGAAGTCGCTGGATGACGTAATTAGTACATGGATCCCATATTAAACTCGACGATGGCGTAGAAGAGTGATTGAGTCTACATACGCATTCTCGTCGAAAGAAGAGGGCAGCGGCGCGCTGTTTGGTGGTCCGAAAGACATGGTGGGCAGTATGCAGATGCGGAGGCGGCGGAGGTGTCGCGTGGGTAGAAGTGTACAATGACAGGGTCGTTACATGAACCCGCGGATCTAGAAGACTGCACTAGCTCTTCTTGCGCAGATTGAAGCTATACAGAAGCCCAGAAAGCGCTATTACAGGTATAGGGTGGGTTGTGTATGGCTTCAAGATGCGGAGCAATCGATTATCTCACCACTTCGGCCATCGGCCCTTCCTGATGTTCCAGGCCCGATGCGCGCGGCGGTGCCTACAACTACATCACCAGAGCTGCGCGAACCACGACAGCCCAGGTCAAGCATCTCTATCCACACCAAACCATAACGTCGCCTTCCATGAGAGACGAGGCGACAGGCAAACTCCCCTCGCTGCGCCATGAACGATGAGGCCGAGTCGTCTCGAGCTACTCAGCGCCATGACAACACGGCATCCCACCTGGCCGATCTAGAGGATGCGCTGGCGCGCTTTGAAGAGGCAGAAGAGCGAGAGAAGGAGAAGCAGATCAAGCAGAGGAAATTGGATGCGAAAAGGAAGCGCATACAGATGCTGGGCGAGCTATTGCGGGAATTGGACATGATCGTCTACCTGGAACTCATTACACTCTACCACTTGGAGTACGCTTACTGTTCATATGCTGCTACTTTGCGCTAATCAAGTTTGCAGCTGCTCATTCTTCTGGCTTCTGTTCAAGGCCTTTACACATGCCTTCCTGCTGACGCCCATCCCCGACACCGCGACCGTCACCCGCCCACCAGACGAACCGAGGCCCTTCCTCCCGCTGCTCCTGATATCGTTTGGAGCAAATTTCCTCTTACATCTTACATATCCCGCGCCATCGGCTGGCGAAGACACCCGAGGCTATCTGCACGGCGGCTTGATGATAGATTTTATCGGGCAGCAGGGGCCCACAAGCAAGTGGAAGCTGGGGGCCCTGGACATATGCATTCTGTTCCTGCAGCTCGTTATGGTCTCGGTACACGTCAAGAGGCGGGAGCTGAAGAAGAAATTGGCGAAACTGTCAGCTGGTGGGGTGGCACCAAACACCACTACCACCCGAGCCACGTCAGACTCGGCACCATCAGCAACGGCAGCGACGACAAATGACAACGCGAACCGAGATCAGGATGCCGATGATGAGGAACGAGGTGTGTTACATCGAACCGATACTCTGTCAGACTTTGGCATGGATCCCGAAAACGAAGAAGATGCCCTACTACCATCATCCTCCGAAACTGGCCATGCCGACGCTATGGAGCTTCTCAGTTCGGGCCAGTGTGTCATTGGCGACTTCACCCTCATCGACACCCTCCTCCAAGAGAACCGAGATTACGCGGCTTACCGATTAACGCGCACCGAGAGCGGCAATAACGACATGCCGGAAACGCTGCGGCGACTCAATACCCTGCGAACTCGTTTCGGGGTGGGTGGCGGGTGAAGCAAGTAAGACGTTATCTTATCATCGCCTTGCTCCGATGCACGTGTTTCCAACCATCTCCGCGGTGACACTGCTGTGACATGCCATGCACGTTTTCCCAACGAACTATTGCATGCAGCAAATAAAGCCACCCTGTACGCTTAGCTCATGCACGTTCGGCTCGGGTGCCCCCCCACGCGTTCGTTTCCCGTTGTAAGACGGCTGAGATGGCTTCTTGCAAGCATTGGTGGCGCCCGGCCTGCACTACCCCAGTAACTTCATGCGACGCTCGGTTGTATGATCGCTTAGTTGTGGCGGTATATTGAAGGGATCGCCATGGTCTTTATATGCATCAATGGATCTAGAGCACATCGATTAAGGGGCACGTGTGGTAAAAATATCACTATATTACGCTCCACTACCAGGTGTGCATGATGCCAATGTCGGTTGAGATAAGCGATAATTACGCTACGTGGTTTCCCATGTTATGGCGCTCGAGTAGAGAGCGATATTGACCTGGTCTTAAGCGAACTAAGAGGCGACTGAAAGAGAAGCGGGCCATGGCAAAGGCGCTCAACGAGTCAACAGACATGGATTAGGTCTTGTAGAACCACCATACGTGCGTATATGTGGCTTACTTCTGTATTGCTGGAAGTCATCATGGAGCAACAAGGCGAGACCGTTAGCCGGAGCTAGACTATTCCAAGATGTTTGCCAAAAGGCACCCACAACACTGCGAAAATTGCCAATACAGTCAGCACTGGCACAGCTGCGTTTTGCCAGTCGCCAGGAAACTTGATCAGCCAATAGATCCAAAAGCCGAATGCTGCAAGTAATGGGACGAGATGATATACTGCCATGAAAGCGAAGGAGATTGCATGGTCAGCCTCCAGCCCCCAAGCAACGGCGATGGCGTCATCGGACTGCATGTCGAACTCACTCTTCTTCTTAGGTATGCAGCCTAGTCTGTATGAGCGGCAGGGCAGGCTCACGCAATCATGCCATGGGTTGAGCCATGGCCATTTGCAGTTCATGTCGCAGGCTTTGAGACAGACTGCGAAGATTTTGGGGGAGATCATCGGATTCGTGCCTGGTCTTGGATCGTATTCGTAGTCGTCTTTGACGCCAGGGTAGTCGGGGAGATCGTCGCCTTGGGATAGGACACGGCCGGTGTCAAACTTTTCTAGCTTGACGAATCTACAGAATCGGAAGCGGAATGGTGAAACGAGTCGTTTGATCCAGCTTCGATGTTTCTTATATCGTGTTTTGAGCTCGCGGAAGAACGCGGGGTCGTTCAGCAGAGTTGTGACGTTAATCTGTTCGACTTCTAAAGACCATCGCGAGCCTTGAACACCGAAAAGGACGCGCAATGATGTGTCTGGGACAGCACTTGGTGGAACAGTGGCTGGCTGACCCGAAACTTGCGGTGTAGAGTTGCTACTATTAACTGACGAAGGGTTTGTGGTGTTTCCTCCAGCAGTCTGAGAACCAGCCAGTGGCATTGAGGTTGCCGAAGTTTCGGTGGGAGTATAGCGTTGTCTAGCTGTCGATGAATTGGAAGGGTTTGCTGTTGTACCAGCAGCCGCCTTAATCCAGGTCATCGGGAGACTCAAGCACCATTGGCTCCTCTCTGGTGCCACGATGTGATCATGAGACCGTGGAGAAGTAGCACTTGAGGTCTTTCCGTGGCGCCCGATGTGACAGCAATAGCACTGCTTTGGATGGTCTGGCAACGAGGGCATGGCATATTCAACAGTGTTCCATTCGAGCGAAGACAATGTCTCATATAATTGAACTCCGCCGAACTGCGTGGCTTAGCGGCCTTACTCAAGCGTCCATGAAGAGTCAGAAACGTACCTTCCACTCAAGACGACATTCTCCAGGCGCAACGTCAGGTATGCGAGGAGCTAATGGCCACCAGTCCCATTCTGCCATAGTATAATCTTCGAGAGAGGCCTTGGTTCTGTTCACGAACGAACTGTCGTTCACAGAAGTCATCTCTATGATATACCCTGGTGTATGTGTAAAGAGCTCCCGTAGTGGTCTGCGTAAGGTTAAGAGTGCAAGGTCTCTGCTCAGAAGATGAGGAGTTGTGGCGCATCTTAGATCTTTTCCTTCTCTGGATAACAAATCGATGAAGAAACTCTTGTCTGTTTTCGAGTCGGAGGTTTGATCCTTCCAGCATGATTCGTTAGCGTCAGCGATCTCCAGATGAAGGACAACGGCTGAAGCAACAGGCTGCCATACGGTTCCCAGCTGAGCGTCGATATTACCCCCCATCCTATTATCTACTTTGTTATCAACAGATGCGCCGGCATTACTGTAGTAGCGACGTAGCAAATCGGAGTACTCAATGACAAACCGATCTTCTCCCAGGATGTCTAAGGCGTATAGGTGCAACTCAAATAGTGGTCGATCGTTTCTGAGCTGGTTAAGACAGTCTTGTTCGACGCCGGACTTTGTCGATTGTACATGGGCACAGGTTTGGAAGCCCGGCTCGATGAGTTTGGCGATCCCGTTCACTCGTTCGTCTAGATACATCTTCTCGTCCCGCTCGCTTGACGGGTCTTTCGACTGTCTTTTCGACGATACGTAGTATTGCAAGTCTGTTCGGAGCAGTTTGAATGCTGCACTCTGAACCAGAAATTCTCGGACGTTCGTGAGGTCTTCAAAGCCAGTTTCATCCACGTTTGTCTCTTCTTGCTCGTCTTCATCAGACGAGTCCTCATCATCCCGCTCAAGGATAGTAACCCGTTTCCCTTCTACTACCACCAAGTCTGGTGCTTTCCCTAGCTGATGTATCTCCAGTATCGCGTCAGCAATTTCTCGTGCCTTCAGCGCGACTAAACGCGCAGCAAGAAAGTCCAGACGATCTTGTGCTTCGTCTTTGAGCTTGTCGGCAAATGCTTTTAGCATTCGCCTGAAGGTGTTTACGAATTTCCGGGGACCAATGACACCATGTATCGCGGTTGTGTAGAGCGGATAGAGAACCTCGTCGTCTCGAAATATAGAAAGTAACTCTCGAGTTGCTGTGGCGATTTGGACTGGGGAATAGCCACTGCCCTTTGACAGATCAGTAGCGGAAGACGCGAGTGACGCAATAGAGAACACGGAGCCTTCGTCCGATGATGTTACTGACACATCGTCATTGTGATCGAGTTCTATAGGGTATCCCAGATTGTAAATATCCGTTCGGTTTGTTGCTTCCTTCACACCAAGCCTATCTTGGGCCTCTACGTCTGTGTCAACGGAAGCTGGCTTGGATAACGAGCTTTTCTCGACGGCATCCCCAGGAACGGCTTCCGTGAAGAGAGGCCGATCAACAATCTCGCGCGATCTCGTGCGAGACGACTTTGTGAGCGGCGGCCGCTCTTCTGTTACTTTCACCGATGTCGCTCTGCCAGTTGGAACTTCTGAAGGCGTCCTTGGAGCAACATAGTAAGATCTATCCATGGAAACGAAGGGTCTGCGAGAGCGATGGCGTAGGCTGCGTTCTATCGCTTTGAGGAGACTACAAACTTCCACATATCCAGCAGGAATTTCTACGCGAACGAGCTTGTTATCCTCCTCGGTCGTGCTGTAAATCGCGCCATCGGACCTTTGGTACAAGTATCTGTGATACACAATGTCAGGCCAGCTACTGTTTAGTCTTCGCTACCGTCAACTTACCTAGCTACATCTTGAGCTAGAGCATGACCCACGTCACATAAATGTTCATGATTGCGGTGGACTTCGTACGGGTTGTGACAATGTTCGCACTTCAGAGCATGCATTTCAAAATGGTAGCATGCCCAGCTCTCCGTCCTAGTGACTGGGCGCGAGAAGCTGTCTACGGGGTCTTCATAGAAACCAACAACTCGATCGTGACTACTGGTGCCGCCATGGACAGCAGTCTGCATAGTTGCGCGTGCATTTGGCATATTGAAAAGAATGCCTCAGTGCACCACGTTCTCGCTTCTGCTTTGGCAAAAGTATCCGTCGTGCGAATTTGTTAGACACAGTCATATACGAGGAACAAAACAACCAGCTATGCCAGCGACTTCCGTTGTACAGGAATTGTGGCAAGGTTAGGCAGAGAGTGACAGAACGCGTCGAAGTTGTTTCTCTGTGCTGTATTGCTGGACGTCAGGCTGCATTAAACTCAGCCACCCTAGGCCCAGATGAGGCAACAGGAAAGCGACGGCCGCTCAGTGAGAGCCTCGACGCCAGGCGTGCATGCGAACCTTACACTATACCGCGCGCCTGACTCACCTGCATGCATCAGATCATCTCCGCATTCACCCAAAACAACCATATGGCAAAATGTAACGTCAACATGCGCACCTCGACACAGCATACGCACACCGATGACGGCAGCGCCGGGCGCCAGATTGCCAAACGACGCGCCCGCCCAACGTCAGCCGGTCCTACCTGTGGCGAATAGTCGTGTCTCGCCAATCTCCATTTGGGGCGAGATGAGAAGCACTCATTCGTCGTTCAGCGTTGTGTGCTGTCCAATATCGAGGTTCCGTCTGACGGCAGATTTAAGCGGTCGTGCCGACATGCACAGCATGCGAGATCTTACAGGTAGCCAGTCCCGCTCTGCCTGCGGGCTGCAGGACTTACATTGATTGCGCAAACGTGGCGTGAATGCTCTCCCGCGCAGGGGGGAGGGGGTGCGCGTGTGATGGCATGGTGTGTACGGAGTGGTCTACTGCCTTCCAGAGATGGATGGATCTCGCTTGTGGGATGGACACGCGAAACCTGATTGCGAAAGCGGAAATAGTCAGACTCGACACGTCGGGGAGTACAGTTGTCGTCCACCAATACATGCTGTCGCCTATCGCGCCTTTATCTCAAAGCATCTACACGTGCACTGTGTCACCCACCTATTCCCCACCCGCTTTCATTTCCACATGGCAAACATGGAAGGTAGGAATAAGAAATCAATTATGGAGCAGCTTTGGGAGGACCCTGCATGGCCATGGCGTATCGAAGGCCCTTTTGCAGCGATTCGCGCGAGCCGCGTTTTGCTCCCATTCCTTCGATTCCCAGAGTCGTCTCGGAATGGGAGAAGCAGGTTTGTACTTCGGTTGCCGCGACGCGAATCGGCGTGGGATGAATAGCATAATGTACAAGGTAGTGAAACAGGAGTTGGATGCGTCTCCAGTCTCCAGTCGTGTCCAGCTCTGCGCTGTGCCTTCGAGCACAAGACGTCGTTGAACGTCACTCCCCATCTCATTCGCAACCGCAACACATGCTCGCGGATGACGCGCGCCCGGTCAACGGGCGGGTTTTAACGGAAGCACGGATCGGAACGTCGAACGACGCACCGAAACCCAAATCCCTCGTATGCTTTATTCGCCTCGACATGCACCCACACGGCGCCAAGAATAGCATGCCACCACATGGTCCCACCTCTTGATGATGCGTGTGGGGAGCTCAACGATTGGCGGAAGCCTAACCTGCCTTGTGAGCCAAATGCTAAACTCTGTCTTGAATTTTTGAATTTTTCTGATTGGCGGGGTTTGCCTGCCTTGCGAGGGTGCGAGTAAGCAAGTGACTTGACCTCTTATGATGTGCAGCGCGGGGGCCGAATGTGTTGCATCCCCGTTCCTTGTTAATTGTCGCATACTCGCAAAAGGAGTTAGCATACTCACGTGACTGGTTCGAGGGCTCGGTTACTTGTCACTCCTTTACAGGGCTTTGTCATTGCTGACATGCATGGGCCACAGTCTGTTGCACCGCGTGGCTTGCATGGTTGGGCTCTGAGTTCAGAGTCCTGGGGAAGGCGATGCGCATTTCTGACAAGGATGATGCTGGCGAGGGTGCGCATACATGGCCCGACAGAGCGGTTCGGCGTTCGGGCTAGCTGCAGCATGAGGAGCGGGTACGTGCGGGATTATAGAACTGGCGAGCGTGCCATACGCGATGCGCGACACATGCGATCCAAGATGCGATGCTGACCTCGCCGCGACTTTACTATACCTAGGTACTTGACCCGCTCCGCCGGCTCTCGTTGGGGCGAGACACCTGAGTGGAGGGCTTAGCCATGTCTGGCACGACTCGCTGCACATTGCATGCCGCCGCTTGAGGTTATTGGTAATTGCGCCAGACTCTATGCGTACTCTGACAACGAATTACGGTGTAATAGAATTCGTATCGGTTGCAAGCTGCCATCAATATATGCCCTGCTGAGGACGGTTAGGGAACTCGTGTCGAAGCGCAAGTGCTCACGATCATGCATGTAATGGAGTGGGGTGTGCAGGTCTTGCTCCACAGTTTTGCAGATTCCTGGGCGTATTCTAGTTGCGAAGATCAATTTTGCGCAGCGGGATCGCCATATCTTCTCGAGTCAAAGAACATGTAAGGGGTTTATCGCGAACAGATTCGGCAGGTGCGCAAAACTCAGTTTGAGAAGAGTGCCGTGCGATGTTTGCTTTATCTTCCTACAACGCAAGGCGAAGAGACCATGTAACCTGCCTATGCGCCAGATATACAAGGTCTTTGAGTCAGTCGTACGATCCGGTGAGGACTCCACTCAAGGGCTGTTGTAAAGCAAATATTACGTGCAGGCGGAGGAGCGCGATGTCATCGCGTGACAAGATGAATCGATAGAGGCGCACAAGTAAGTCCGAGAAGCACGACTTTGGCGCTGTGCAGATCCAGTCCCATGGAGACAGTCCCTACGGCGTTGTATCGACATGGCAGGAATATGCGGTGTGAACTATGGGTACACGTGTCGAGGGTCGGTCATCTGGATGTGTGTGGAGTCCCTCTAAACCGCAGATGTACTGTACTCCTACATGAATGGACCCATCATGCAAGTCAAAAAGATATCAGCTGCAAGAGATGCAGAATGGGGAAGTTGAACCGGAAAGTGTTTTCCAGCATGCCCCCATAGACTGCGACCAGCAACATGAGTTTCTTGTGCCGTGATGCTGAAGCGAAAAAACGAAAGCACGCATCGGCAGTTGCAAGCGACCGAAACGTGCTGACAAAACCCGAGGCATCTACCCAGCTTTCACGATCGGCCCGAGTAGCGAGAAGTATTCGGCTAAGCACAGCAGAATAAGATCATGGGCCGGAACCGCTGCAATATGCGCAGTCTTACAGCCTTGTCACCCACCGCAGAGGTAAACGGTGAGCAAGTGTTGATCCTAGACACACAAGCCGACATGATTGGGTGGATCTTTGTCCCCGGTTGCAGCATGTCATCAATCAAGACCCTTGTACCACGGCGGCTCTGCCTAGGTAGTTCTTCCAGATGCGTAGGATCACGGGTCAAGCGGCTGGCTCGTGGGTAAGCTAGGTTGCATCCTTGCATCGCATGCTGCAGCTTGGAGAGGTTTTTAGTGCTGCTCCTTGCACGTCCACCCGCATCATCATTGCGAGTCAGTAATACACCGGATGCTGGTGGATATAGCGTTCGCGGATGTGATGGCATCGAAAGTGGAGAGATGGCGGTGAAGGTGTTGCGTGCGCGCTTCGGGGGCCCGGCAAATCTGAGATTAGGCCCGATGACGAGGGTGGTGATCAAGGCCATGTCGTGCATACAGCGGCACAACAACTAGTCCCTAAGTATGTCATCGTGATGATTGGCCCAGACGCCCAAGTGAAAAATCCAATGAGTAGCGCTCTGAATAATGCGATTGCGACATCTTTCCTGCTGCTGTATGGTCCTGGTACAGGGCTAGTAATCAGTCGTGAGGCTTGCGACAGGCAGCTTGATGTTGCTGCTCACATGTCTCTACCTGCTATGCAAGCACCGAGGCACGACAAGGTGTTACTGCATGGACAGACCTCGTCAGCAGTATCTCAGTCTCTAGTGTCGGGGAGAACGCCGTCGATATTGTATTTCTCCGAAGACTTCCACATCGAGGCAATCTATAGCGGGCAGTCTTCTGTCAGCTTGGGGCGGCTTCTGGAAATCAATGAGAACCGCAGATCGGCCGAAGGCGGTATGTTCGTCCTTTGATCGCTGTGCGCATTAAAGGACATGCACAAGAGCAGGATAGTTGAGGGATGGACCGTGCGGATGGGATGTTGGAATTCGGACCGTTTCACAGGAAGGTTCACACTACTGCGACTTGGGAAGTATTGTGGTGTGGTATAATCAACCACCGGAGAGGTCCTTAGACGACGTTGTCGAGACCGATCCTATTAACAGTCTTCCCAGCGTCCGCGGCCTAGTGTTTAAGTTGACAGGAACACGGGCGTATCGTGGAGTTTGGAACTAGTGACCTACAGTGACGGGCTGGCAATAGACCTCGCAGACGACAAGAAAAGAAACTCTCCAAAGGGCGCTATAATGCCGTACATAAAGTTCCGGGCAAGCTCAAATAAGGCGCCGAACAAACCAACGGACCGCGCCGGAGGCGTCTCCGTTAGCTGACACGCGAAACGCGGAACTTTAACTTTGACCAGCTCACATTGTCTTGCTTTCCAGCACAATGGTCATGTGGCTAACAACCTGTTTGACGGGATTTTGGTGGTTCTGCCTGATCTGATTCGCAAAGGTGTTGCGAGCACGAGGCTCTAATGATACACGTGTCTGTGCGCCTCGTGGTAGTCTTTGCGGTGAGTATGCAGCCCCAACGTGTCGCGTCTAGTGACACCGTAGGTGCACTACCATCGCCGGACGCTTGTTAACAAGGTGGAGAATTTTCCTGAAACTGTAGAAAACACAATGACACACTCGGGTACACTCATCTGGAGGGCTGGAGACCGGAGAAGACCGCCGACCTACTACTATGGTAGTTTCGAACTCAACATCCGCCACTTCGGATCGCTTCCCTAGAGTGAGTTTTAGACTTTCGACGGGTTTCTTCACCAAGGTGCGACGAAAGCGACGCAGTTGATATGATGTGATGGCGCCCGTCCGAACACCGTTTAGTGGTCAGCGATGTCCGTGAAATTGAGGCTGCACTTGGTATGGCGTCGGCCTCGTTTACTAAGGCGACATCCGGATAAGGCTTTTAGATTCTGGAGGTGAACGGCGGCATTACCTAGTTCGTCATCCCGTATCCGAAACTCAATTTTGATTATCGCCTGATTTCGAGCAACATAACAGTCGAGTCGCATTGGCTAGGTGGTCTATAATACGTCGGGCGTGAACGTGAAATTAGGGTTCAGACGTGCCGGGTGTCTCGCCTGTGAGATTCCGAAGAGAACGGCGATTAAATGAATGGTACCATGGCCAGTACCGTTCGCTTGGAAGCAGCTCCTAAGCGGCGGTTGATCCCGGCTTGTGACGGAACAGCACTCCAAGAACCGTCATGATGGCAGATGTTGCGAATCTTCTGCAGCGAAGAGATGTAGTTCGATTGTCCTCGGTATCTGTGAGTACCTACTTACATCCACCATGTCGTTTGCTGAAAGGCGCAAATAGGGTAGTATTATACATGATGAAAGCGACGAATATCAATCTTGATTTGATGACAGCGATGAGAATTATCCGTGAGGACAAATGTTTCTATATGCAATTTGGTGAAGACCGATGATGGACAAAGAACGAAAAGAGCTAGGGTATAACGCAGATTTGTGCTCGCAAAATTGCAGAAGCTGGAAACAACCACCCAAGCGATATGCATGCGTCGTTGACACATGCTTGAGAAAGAATGTAAGTAGAAATGGAGTGGTCGACGTGCGGACGCAAGCCGGGTGATGATGGTGTAGGCTGATCAATGCACTAGTGCCTCCTCCTCAAGGTATGGACCAATCGTTCAAGCGCGGTGTTCGTAGCGACGAGCCTCAGGAGGGAAGGAGTCGCGATAAGCAGGTTGTTTAGACGCAGGATGCTGAGGGCCTGCGGTTTGCGCCTGTTGGTGCTGTGGATATTGATGAGACTGGGTAGTATGTTGTGCAGAAGAGTGGTTTACTGGTGCAAAGGTAGATGCAGGATAACCATTTGAGTCGTGACTGGAAACAGGCGCCTCGGTGTGGTGGGGACCAAGAGCTGGATGGTAACTGCTGGTTCTCCTTCGGACGTTGCGCTCTTCCTCTCGAAGTTCCTCCTCGTAGTCGTCATAGGAAGCTTCTGAGCCGTGTCCGGTTGTAGAAGATGGTGCGCGTGACGGTGCTACCGAGACACGCCTTAGCCGAGGCGACGGCGGTCGGGTGATGTGACGCTCTGGATGAGCTTGCATAGCAATCGATCTCCAGTAATCCCTCTCAGAACGGTAATACTCGGCATCCTCATTTGAATCGCGAACGCTCTGTTCCAATCTCGATATGCTCATGGAAGCTTCACGCTCCTTTTCCTTCCTTCTGGCACGGAAACGTGCTGATGCGCCAGCATTACGCCTCCTCTTTTCATCGGCGCCCTTGGATGCAGTTTGTGTTTCCACCTGAATGTTGTGCAGGGACCCGTCCTGGCTCTGAATCGTCATGAGCTGAACACTGCTCTGGTTGGATGGGGCCATGGCTATCATGCTGTTGCGTTCACTCTCCATGGATGCAGATCCCTGTCGAGAATCGTGCACTGGGGTGTGTCTACGCATCTGGCCGTATTGTCCTTGGGTACTGTGGTTGTCGTATTGGCTCGATGCAACAGAAGCTGGCTGACTGTAAGGTGAATACTGTGCAATGGGACTAGCACTACCAGATTGAGGAAAGTTGACGCTCGGTCGGCGGATCTCTGTACGCATCATGTTCGGTGGGGGAGTAGGAGCCGTAGCAGGGAAATAATGAGGGCGGCCGCCGGCAGGAGGTGTAGGTAAAGCCGGCTGGATAGTCATTGATTCCGTGGGACGTGTACTTGCCGTTAGAAAAGGCGATTGCTGAGCATCGATTGTGCCTGTGGGTGGATTCAACCTGCCCAGGTTATGATTCCTGATCGATTTCTCGGGATATGGAGGTCGGATCGAAGGTCGTCCTGGGGGTTGGAATGGCCTCGCATGCTGTTGTCCCTCCTGCGTGGATTGAGTGGAATCCACACTATTGGGTCGGCTGATGGAAGGCAGACTTTGGGAATTTTGTGTATCAACAGGTGATGGAGAATCCATTTGGGAGTTGCTACGCTTCAGACTCCGTTGCTGCTCCACCAACTCGGCTTGGGGGTTGAGAATAGAGTGGACTCCGAAAGGGTTTCCATATCTTCGATCCGAGGGCGTAGGTGGTGTCCTGGAAAGATGGCGAAGAGGTGGCAGGGAAACGGGAGGGTTTGCCGGAGCTTCTCGCGGACTCCTGTAAGGAGGCTGCATTGGAGGATAAGACTGGATGGGCGACATTTGTGGGGTTGTTCGTTCTGAACGAGTTTCTCCTGCCGGTGGGTTTGACATGGAATAGATATCGTCAGAGCCCCCTTGGCCGCCCTGACCCGACCATGGGCCGTCGGGCTTTGGGTCGTTGTGGTACGGCGGAGTTAACGAGTTCTGAAAACGTCGTGGATAATGAGGGAGAGGGGCCCGAATAGCGGGGAGAGTCTGAGTAGCCAGGGTGACAACGTTGGTTGGGTCGCCTAGAAGACAACCCAAGATACGTGAAGGTAATGTAGTGTCGAAGGAGGCGAAAAGGATGGTGGATCAGACAATGTGGTGGCAGTCCCAACGGTGTAGTGGGAGCACGAGGCGTGGATGGGTTTCCTAGTAGGGCAGTTGAGGCAGTGTGGGGCTGACGGCCATGCTATACTGGGAGTAAGCGACCGAGGCTGCAGGAACGAGGACTGGAGATCAGTAGCAAAGTGAAGCGATGAGGAAATGAAGCTGAGAGGCAACGTCGGGGGAACTGGTAAAGAGTCTGGGGGTCGAGATCTGTCACGCCCGCAATCGGCACAGGTCGCGCCAGGACCGGGTGTGATATAAGAATTTGCGGTGTAATAGTCGGAGGATGGCTGGCCGGGCAGCAAACCATCGAGGGTGCATTGTGCCCCTGTCGCGCCTGGTCCATGTTGCGCGAGGAAGGGCAGCAAGTACATCATGCCTTGTCGGCGGCTTTGACGACGCGCTAGGCGGTGCCTTGGGCTTGCTGGGATACGCTGGCAAGCTACTTACGCACGTCTTGCGCGCTACTGCATGTTCGACAGTGAAGACACGCGGAAGCGGAATACACACTAAGTCTCCCACCGCAACAACGCGCAGCTGGCGGCCAAGCAACGACGTCGAGGTGGCCTGCTGGCCCAAACTGACACAAGCGCACTTTGGTGGCCGCGCCCTGCAGCCCCCAGCACTGACCTGCGGGAGACTGTCCGGAAAGACGTCCTGTCATCTCATCTGCAGCTTGCCGGCGGCCCTCCTGTACCTCAATGGCGAGCCGTGGCTGGCTCGCACGCATGTCCTCGACCGCTGCTAGGGCCGGTCAAGCCAGCGGTTGCGGTAGCAGCGTGTGCGTGATGCGCACGACCGTGTCTCATCATGTGCCCCAGTCCATCCCTCCCTTGCCGCTCGCTGTGCAATGAATTGTGCACCTCATTTTGCTTTGTTGAACGCCTCATTGGCTGCCCGTCGCGCATTTAAAATCCCCGACGCTCGCCTCTGTGCTGCATATGCCTCGCGCGCTACGCACTGCACAAAAGGCGAGCCACAGCATTGAGCGGAAAGGGTAGTCTATCGATCGGCATAACCATCATTGTGGCCCAAGACATCGATAGGACCACTGGGCGCCTCATCGCTTCAGTGGGTTGCTTCTTGTCCAGTACGCCTGCATTTCCGCGGCCAGCACCACTAACGTCTCGGGACGGTCAGCGGCGGCAACGCCTCGTCTCGCTGCGGATGACAGAAGAAATTAGCATGCCCACGCCATGCAGCCACCAAGGAGCGATCGCTTCCGCCTTGGAAAACGTGCGTGTCGATAACGTGCATGTGGACGTGTTGCAATGGCCAGGTGGGGGTAGCAACAAGTTGATGAGACGGCATGATAGAGATCTCGGTCTGTTGATTTGTATGACGAGCCTCTGAAACTCGATCGAATCAGTAACAAGGGAGGCCCTCGCCTGCCGTCGCGATAATAGTAATCGATATGGCCAGGGTTTGGGGGACAGTTCCCCGCGCTGTCGTGGGGGTGATTAGCTTGTGGAGCTGCAGATATGTCCCAGCACGAGACTTGTGATCGTGCAGATCGTCAGTCATCAGTTTCCATATACAAGTCAGTCTTGTATTGCGCAATTTGCGGCATTCTCTGTGCGAGTACTTTTGTGCAACGTAGCGTGGACTTTGCGCCAGGCGAAACAGATCAGTAGGTTGGGCTTCAACTCCGAACCCCTGTCACATTGCAAATCCCGTTAGGTGTCGGCCTTTTGATCCTTTTGCACGCACGCCGGATAGAACAAGGTTAGCTTGAGTTTCGTTGCGACTGGTAGCTGGCGTTAATCCATGTACATTTCCTGCTTCTCGAACCTTTTCCATGACAATTCATACCCAGAGGGACGGTAATGGCGTACACGTTGCAGGACATGAGACGATCTCTATGCCGCGCATGTCATTCCTTCTGGAGTCACATCGAGATGGACCGGACGCTTGCGAGCAGCTGAAAAGTCTATGTACCCCGAGTAGGTGCGCATCAAACTCTGTGAACGCCGTGTGCGGGTTCACGACATCCTCGGGCAGCCTTTGAAGATTTGGAGCTTCTAGTAAGCCCTCGGACGCGCTGACTTTGAGAGACAGGCTTAGTAGCTGGAGTCAGGGCCGCCCGCCTCGGCGCAAGCTGGACACCCTGATCAGGGATATCCACCAAAAGCGTCATAGCTTGCGACCAACAGCATGGTCCACACGGCGCCACTGATGGATCTCAGCCATCGGTTGGTTGATCCTCTCCACCAGTTTCCGGCTCCAGACTGTCGGTTGCGTAGCCAAGGCGATAGTTCAGGGGAGATTGCACCGGATTGTGACATCACGTCACACCTCGTGAGCTAATCACAGTGTATGTACACCGCACAGCCGCGAGAAGCGTTGGTTCCTGTTCCAATCTGCCGGACGGTATCGCCAGATCGACCTAGAAGACTGATACAGACAAGATGAATGGTAGAATGACTCGTAGTCTCGGTGAAGTTCACGAGTTGGTACATCGCGTGTCCGGTGAAGCTGGGTACTCTCTGTGTCCACTTTTCAGTTTCTCGACCCCACTCATCGCCACACAGAATAGCGGCGGCACAACTACCGCTGCCCTCCGCAGGCGTGTCGACTTCAAATCGCCCTGGTAGACGTACTGTCAAGCTCCACTAGTTGGAAGTGGCGGCATGCGCGTGCTCGTCGCAGCGCTGGATACTTGGGCATTTTACCACTTGTCCACGATGTTTTCGTTTAGGTCAGCGCCCGGTCGTGTTGAAGTGGAAAGGAGATCCTGATGGAGGTATTGAACGAGTGAACAGTCCGCGGATGCAATTTTGCATAGAACGCACGGCCCAAGCTTCCGCACGTGCATTTGGGCCTCTTCAATCCATGCGCCTGCCCAACTCTGCTCACCACCTACGACGAGACAAACAACACCGCTATTATCGCGCAGATCCTCACAGGGTACATCAAGCTTTAGAACAGACGAAGGCGTCATGTTCTCGACGCAAGCGAGGTTCGCCCTGTAACCAACTGAACGGGCTGCAACAACTTTTTGTTTGGCCTTGCTACACAGTTTCGTGCGCTTGCAACGCTTCGCAACCCCCTGTTGACGCCATGATCCGCATCTCATAGTGTCCCGAGATCACATCAGAATCAACAAGCGATACCCAACATATGTGGCAGATTCGCATCGAAGCATGCATTGCGGGACTCGCCTCAGACGTTCTCTGTTACACGAGGAAACATCCACAGCCGAGAACGCTTTCAGCCGCCTGCTGCAGAAGACTCAATGTCATCCTTTCATTACTCGTATCGGCTTGTATCATCAGTTATATATCCCGGAAGCGGGAGATGACGTTTCTTACCCTGCAACGCATAACATATGAGGCGGGGTCTAATGTATACAGATCCCAAACGGGTTGCTTGACCTCTGATGAACACCCTGGTCGCTTGATGCTCGATCGGAAATCCTCTTCTTCTCTGCAATCTCGAACGACCTTCTGGCTCGGTCTACATCGCCGCCACCCACTACAGTGAGCAGAACAATAGATATCGCCTGGAGACGTTACATAGGTAAACGTGGGGTGGTCACTCGCTAAACTATCTTCTGCGTCAGGCTTGCCACGTTCCACACCAACCTGCGCCTCCTTATTGTCCTCCTGGTCATGATAACTTTATTGTTGCACACACGCATATTCTTCGGATGCCTTTGCCAGCCAGTGAGCGAATTGACTCAGATCCATTAACGACAGCGTAAACTACCAAGGCGTAGATTTGTAGATGCAGTACGGCATTCAGATGACAAGATGTTGACATTCTCGCTGTTAAAACAAGTCGCGGAGTACCGGTCGAACATCACAACTAGCTTCGGAAGGACACAACACCAACCCCAACAACAGTCTGCTCGTCCCAATTTCCGCATGACTCAGCATATACTAATACTGGTACGATACTCTTGGTAGCAAAAGATTGCACGCAGGTCAACTACACTACACTATAACGTTGTGATAAGGCCTACTTGGAGTCGACTCATGCATGCAAGATACTCGATCGACATCAGCAGATCAGTACCCCGTAGTCGTGCCCAGTACGCTGGACAAAGCTAGATGCTGCATAAAAGTTCCGGATAGCCGTGATCGGCCTGACCGTGATGGCCGGTGCTTACTAGTCTCACTACCCTGTTCACGACGAATCGGTCAGCGATGATCTTTCGGCCCTATTCAATAACATTTGCGTCTCCGAGAGGACGGTAATAGCTCCCCCAGATCGAGCTGCCTGTTCTGTCGACTGACATGAACACAGGGATCGAACTTTGTCCTTTTTCGACTTTCGCATCTCATCAGGATTTTCTTATCGAGATCAACACGAGATGCTTCAAAGACTTGACACATGAATACTTTCCCACACAAGAAAGAATCGATAACGAGAATTCAGACCGTGCTTCTGAATTTTCATGGCCTCATGTCTCACACAAACCCCTACCGTTTGTTCAAGCCACCGCTTAATGACCCCAACCGCACCTGAGTCAGCGCTTGGGTGGGACACTGACGGCAATGGCGTGAACCTAGCAATGAGTTCTCAACGTTCATCATACAGTATCCAAGTTAGGTACACCTCCGCACTGAGAGGATACTGAGGGGTTCCGAATCCGAGCACTAACTAGGTATCTTCCATCTCTCTATCATTTGGTGGGGCATCTAGTATTTGTCATGTCCGATCTCATGCAAAGCAAACAACGTCCATCCCAACTCAAGACCTGCAGCTGGTCTGGCACGAGCAAATTCACGCATGTACGCCAAATGTCGGTGTAACGTCCGAAAGCGTTGATCAAAGAGGGGGATATAGCACCAGCATAACGGCTTCCTATCCATTTCTGGGTGGACGTACTGGTTGCACTGGGTTACTTTCCTTTGTTGAACATTGCATGTGAGGAGTTCCACAGATCACATAGGTCTTCACAGCCAACGGCAGTCTGTCACGTTGGATAGGAACTCGCCGATGCA